GTTCGACACTGTGTTAAGATCGCACTGGAGCCGTTCATGGTCTTCCGGTCCTCTGATCCTTCGCCATATCTTGATATCATCAGCGAAACATAGGAAATCGGAAGTAATTGATCTCGCCAAATCGTTAATGAACACCAAGAATAGACGAGGTCCAAGAACCGAGCCTTGTGGTACTCCGTACGCCACATCGATTGCATCAGACAATGATTCTCGGACTCTCACCACTAGCCGTCGTTCGTGTAGAAAATTGCCAATCCAACTCAGGCTTTGGTCACCAATGCCGTAATTCCGAAGCTTGTGAAGGAGAATGTGACGATTTAAGCGATCAAATGCTTTTGAAAAGTCCAGGTAGATGACATCGACTCCTACTCCATCATCAACAGCTTCAGTCCAGCTATTACGTGCAATTAATAGGTTAGTATTACACGAATGCTTTTGACGAAAGCCATGTTGCTCTGGGGCTATTAAATTGCGGCTGTCCAGGTATTCCATCAGCGCATCTGCGATGATTGATTCCATCACTTTGGATAGAACTGGAAGTAGTGTTATTGGACGGTAGTTGACAGGATCAGTGCGGCTACCTCCTTTATGAATAGGAGTGATGACCCTCGCTTCCATACTGGTGGAATACGGTTCTCCTCTAGACATCGCTGATAGAAAATAGCCAGTGGTGCTACTAGATCATTAGCCACTGCCTGTAGAGCCTTTGGTCGGATGTTGTCAGCTCCAGGAGAACTGTGGATACGCAAGCATAACAACTTCTTCAACACAGCTTCCGCAGTGAAGGTGATGTTTTCTAAACTAGATGATGGAGTAGTAGAAATGAGGAGAATGTTTGTGCTCGTTCGGGAGTAATGAAGCCGTAGGAGATCAGCTGCTTCCATTGCTGATCGCGTGCACCCATCAGCCATGACTAGCGCTGGAACCCCTCGCTTTACCTTTCGAAGGCCGTTAACGTGCCTGTACAGGAGTTTCCGATTCGTGCAGAATCGCTTCATTAACTTTTGCTGATGAGTGACCTTGTCTTCGCGGATCAGTTTCACGCAGAAGTTGCGATGATGTGCGTAGGCGAGTACTAGGTAGTGATAATCATGCTAGCTCGGTAGAACAAGAGATAGCACATAAATAAAATGCGTTGGCTTGGGCACATGCTACATATGCTTCGTCACTGCTTACCTAGAAGGGCTTTGTTTAGTCTGGCAGGTGTAGAACGGCGCAAGGCTCGAGGTGGACAGAAATTGAGTTGGCAGCGGGAAATGAAGTCACTGAAGACTAACTCGGTGCCGTTGGTCCTTCGCGTCTTCCGGGCTGAAGTCCACGTGATTCACCTTGTACTTGGTTCGAGACTTTACAGGATATGGCTCGCAACCGAGACCAGTGGCGCGTCTGTTGCCGTCTCCTAATCGAATTTCCTGTTCACACTGTGTCTGATGCTGAGTTATCTGCGGGGTAATGGTTGATTAGGATGCGAGGCAGTGAGAACCGCAAAGAAGCTGTCTCGCTTATACCGCCTTTGAGCGATAGCCAGCTTGTGATGGTATGTTGCTGACACAATATGCAGGCGTCTGACCATAACTGTTTGTGTAGAGCATTAGGTTTTTACCCCTTCTCTCCCTCTTATTGTTCTTCGTTCCGTAGGACACCGTGGTTGCACGACAGCGAAGCATCAGTTCGAGTGGTTAATGTATTGTTGTCGATGGTGACGATGAATATGAGATACTTTAGGCTCCCATACACCCGTCGTTGTTGATGTAGCTAGCCAGACAGGTGAACTGAGTGGCAAACACATGCGCCACACCGTCAGGGCACGAAAGGGCCTCGTGACAAGTTTGAGTTTGGTTAGCTTGCATACACGGCGATTCGCCGGCAGCTTCCCTGATATGTATCGATATCGTTCGATCTAGCACCCGCCTATTACCACGCTCTCGTCTAACGACTGCTGTCCGTCAGAGCTCAAGTGTTACTTATGACTGATGGGGAAGCCTCTCAACGAGTTTGGTAGGTCAAGTGCAACTAGTTTAGCTAAGAAATAGTTGGTGCTGTAAACTAAGTTTGCAGGCTACAGGCTACCAACGCAAGTGAAGGAAGCAAAGTCAAATTTCGTGTGCCTTATGTAACAAGTACTCCATACGTCCCGAAAAGAATGGAGACGAATCGAAAAAAGAACCAGAAGGGCACGTAACTCGATAATTGTGTGCAGTCCATTGAATAAAAAACGTCTCATAACGCAGCGAAGGGAAGTACTTTGGGTGGCGTGTTGACGATTTTAAGTTATGGACGCCAATGAGCCAGGGAGAGTTCATGAGCTGCGAAATCGGTTCCGCGTCGTCGGACTATGTAAAAATTCTTGAAACGAAGATAATGTATCAACCGGCTTACAGACGGCAGTCTTAAGCGTTCAACGGCAGAAACGCGCGAAACAAATAGAGATCAATTGGTAAAAATAGCGGAGGTGGATACTTACCCCTTGGGACACGCTGTTCCGGGGTTCTGGTCTAAAAATCGACCCAGGTAACCAGTGAAGTTCTCGGCCGACGGACGCCCATCGATCAATTCCACCGGGCACGTAACACATGCGTCCAAAGGTGCAGTGTCTGGACAAAAGTCGGTCAAATTTGGATACATTCGACAACAGTATGGCGAGCCGTCAGGATCGATCCAATCGAAGTAGTCATCGATCCAAGAGGATGCCGGCTGAGCAACCCACGAGCTGATGAGAATAGAAAGTAGAGTGGACTCAGAGCGGAAACCTAGAACCGCTAATGTATAAGACGTGTTGATAAGCCGTATCAACGTGTCCGTCGGCCGCCAAGAGATAACGAATGTGATGTTGCAATGTGGACCAAAAAGTGTCTAAAGCCAGGTGTTTCACTGATTATCGAACGGTTACGCAGTTCAACTGATAACGCTGAGTCAATTCGATCGGCTGACATGAAGTTAACCGCTTCTAGCTCATGCTAGTTACAGTGGAGCAAAGAGTAGCACCGTTAAGCATTCAACAAGGTATTTGAAAGCACCATACGGCAAACGTGGCAATTTTGGACTTGTAATGTCCTAGATTTGATTAGAAAACAATGCATGAGCCATAATACACTATCTTCTTCATGGTATGTCGCAGTTCGAGAAGGTGAAAAGTTCGAGTAAGTAAATTCAATGGCAAGACAGAGAGAGGAAACTATCCGCTAAAACATTCATGGGATCACCACCAAAAGAATGCTACAATTCCAGCCCAAACGAGGAGCTACCATCTGGCAGGTATGCGAGTTTACTATTGCATAGAGATACACCTACCACTTCTCGCGCAGATAGAATCACAGGCACCATTCGCCGAAGAAATCAAGAAGGTCGATTGACAATCAAGATATACATATCGACCAGTAATAGACAGGAGAAATGAATCAATAATGGTTCCACAACACGGTCCGTTTCCCTACATATATCCAAAGTAGGTGCGATGTGGTAATGCGGTTTCCTGACTCTAGAGCCAAAAAGGAAAGTACGATCAGTTGGCAGTGTTCATCACAAGCACGAAGCCGCATAGTGAACCGTTAAGGTAGTCAAGAATTTCCTCAGAAGTCACAATAACCACGACGGCATTGGAAAGATTCGCGTAACCATCAAAAAGGTAACCACCTACACAGACCACCGGATGTTCTCACCTACATGCAAATGACAGAGTGAAAAGGCCAGAATGAGGCATACAAAATCGTGTTTGGAAAGAACTAGTGAAAAGCCGGCTAAAAGAACAAGTTTATTTTCAGTGGCTCCCATCAGGACTGTAAACTATAACAAACAGTCAGGAATAAAATTAACACACCCCCTTGATCGACTGCACTCAACAAATCAACGTGAAGGAGTCTTGACTGACTATGTACCAGATACTTGGATGTCATACGCGAGAAGTTAGATGCCGCCTACTAGCACGGAAGACGTGATCGACATTCGGCTCAAGAATCCGGACCAGTATCCTAAAAGTAACGAGAGTGTCTTGTAATTTGACGGCGCGGGTTCGAGCCTGCGTAGGAGCAGGGTGACCCACGCAGTATCTTTCGCCCACGTGCGACCGGTGGTGGTTGCGCTGCAGCGAAACGTCGGCACTACGTACCGGCGTACTGTTGATGCTCTCCGGACCTGAAGGCGCACAATTTCGTCCAAGTGTTCGAGCTGCTACGGCCACAAGCCGCTTCGTCCAACACCGATGATTGTGCAATCTCCCACAACCTTACCCCAAGCAGCGCGACCATATGACATATTGATCAGACAACTCATTTCATTAATTTATTGCGTATATATATATATATATATATATTTATAAAGCACAATTTGTGGTGCGGATACTGTGTCACCGGAAACTTTGCGGAATAGGAAAATAGGAAAAAAATAACAGGCTACATTTTTGTCAAACTTTCCATTCACCGTTTTAAGTTCTTTTTGTCAGTTTTTGGTAAGGTAGAGAAAAGGAATTATCGCAACACGCAGAGATACACATCCGCCACTGACGTGGATGTTGTGTCATAACTTCCAAGATCTCCAACCACCGACACCCCATATCACTGGGACCCTAACCAGGAAGTCGAGAACAACCGACCGAGGTCAGCTGCTTCGTCAGGTTTTTCACGGCACTTCTCCAAGTCGCAGGTTGTCCACCGCATCGCCTGCTCCAGACCTACCCAGAAACCGCTAACAATACACGACGCGGAAGACGCTGAGCGGACATGCGAAATATGTGGCAACGCCACCGCGATTGTCGCAGCGAGATGAGCTCCTCGAACGAGTAGCCGCTTCCACCCAAAACACGCTGTATAACTCCCATATTGGCTACGTGGTACAGCCAACTCATAAGTGCAATGGACTGCAAGCAACGGTGCTCGAAGACAGAGAGGCAGCGGAGGTCAACGGTACGAACAGGCCATGTTTAGTGACCGTAACAGTACAGCGCAGACAGCAGCACCACAAACCCACGGTTCGATGGAGAGACGGATGTCATGGTGGTGCTACAAGTGCTTCAGTCTGCGAAAAGCGAGACGAGTACTTGTGATACGCATCGAGAGTTCATTTCCAACAACCAAACCAGCAGTGATGCAACTTCCAAGGTGGACAAAGCTCTCCACAACCTACAGTGTCTCACTACCCAACAGTGTGTGCAAATATAGACATCTGCTAGTCTTCAAAAAGGGCTTTCCACTTGGGTGGGGAAAAGTGCATCCCATACCGTGATGCTTCAATCGCCAAGCGGTTAAGTGCAAGTTGGACGGCCTGTGAATCGTCAACCAACAATACGATATCATCAGCGTAGTTCAAGAGAACTACTAGACTACCTGGTGGGATTTCAACGCCAGTGTTTACAAGTCTTCCAGATCATTTTGAGGATAACCTCTATTGGAAAATCGAAGAGGATCATGGACACCAAAGGACTAGGAAGCTTACCAAAAGCTTTAGCTCTACCCGATATCAGATTAACAATAGCACGCAGTACGGAATCCAAGTTCACGCGAGCGCTATTCCCCAACAGTGCCCCAATGCAATCCTGTCGACAGAATCGAAGGCAGCACGGATATCCAGGAACACAACAATTGTTGGCTTTTGATACACACGAGGTGGTTCGAGGATCTGGCGGAGTGTACTAAGTTGATCGATACAACCGCGACCAGGGCGGAACCTAGCCTGTTCTTTTTGCTATAGCGATTCACGAGTTGGGTAAAGCCTTTGAAGTATGATGAACACCAGAACCTTGCAAACGACGGGAGCCAAGCTGATACCCCTGTAGTTAGAGCATATTGTGCGCAGGCCCTTGTCGAAGATGGGGACGACTAGCTGCTAACACCAAGACTCCTGAGAATAAAGCAGTGAGTACTCGAATCAGCGAATAGCCCCGACTTTAAATAGAGCAGAAGGTAAACTATCAGGGCCGGGTGGTTTATAACGCTTCAGTCGGACGGAATTCAAGCGTTCCTGGTGAGACAGAGGATCTGTGGGGGTAGATAACTTTGCACAAATGCGCGCTCCAGTAAAAGAAAATAGAGCTGCCGGCCAGCGAAACTGCGAGCAAAAATATTTAGCCGATCGTTCTAACCATCGACGAAGATTTGTGATCAGTGAGCCATCCTCTTCACAGATTGTTTCGCATACACCAGATAAGAAAACATGAGTCACTCGGGTGAGATGGAAGAGTTTTCTAGGGTTATCAGAGACACTAGCAAGTTTTATCCCTCTAGCACTTTCACATCATCAGGCTTCGCGGTCCTTTTGCAAATTTCTGTGGAATTCTCGGTCCCGGGATCGGCGTCCTTCACAACAGCTGGCATCAGCAGAGACCGAGTGGTGTCCGTCAATCAGCAACAAGCAGCGGGTGACGCGCAAATCCAGAACTGTAAGGGCTGGCAGTAGCTAAGGTATCTGCAAGGTGTACCCATTGTGAAAGCAAATCATCATCAGAAGCTGAAGCAAGAAGTGTCTACCAAAAGGCTTGCTACTTGGTTTAGTTTAAATACTCTGGGTTAGTTTTTATCCCAAACTATTTGTTGTGGTATACAGACCGAAAACAAGCTTGATCCCCAGGATCATTTTCTCAGTTAGAGAAATAGCCACTGAGTGGTGAGGACGCCTTCCGCTGCCGGTTTTCATGAGGAGAAGTCGAGGTATTTCATTTACAAAGGATAGAAAACATAGACGCTCGCGAGTTAATATTTAAAAACAAGCCTCTCAGTAGTTCAATAGACCATCTTATCTCTTAGTAAAACTCATGGTGCCTGAGAGAATACCTTTTTATGGTGTCCCACCGCCAATTTGGTCGTTGCAGTAACTGGAGAAAGATAACTAAAAAGATCAAAGCAACAGCATTGAAGAGACTACAAGCAGCGAGTGAGATTGCCAAACAAGGATGGAAGATGAAAACTAAGGACACAAAGATTACAAGGTTCTATAGACTGCCAAAGGTACAAAAAAGACCGAGCCCAATTGCGTCCAATCAGGAAGTTCATCGTACAAATTAGCAAAATGCATGTGGAAGAAATTAAATCATCTAATTGCCGGATCTGAACCGAGCTTCATAAGTACTGAACAATTCCTCAACAAACTAAGGGGTGTTGCGATAGAGGAAGATGAAACCATGCAGCGTTTGACGTCACAGCACTCTTCACATCGGTCGATCATGAACTTGCAAAAGAAACCATAATGGAAGTACTTCAAAATCAACCGGAGACAATTGGAAACCTCAAGCCGGAGGGCATATGGGAACGCCTGGATCTCTGTATGACCATTTACTTTGATGGGCAAGTGTGCTAGCAACTGAAAGGAAGGCAAATGGGACTGCCCATCTCAGGACTCATTGCAGAAGCTGTGATGCAAAAACTAGAGACTATCACAGATAGTGTGTCAGCTGTACGCCGCAACGCCGCTTCGCTGCCGCGCGCGGGCTGAGTATACCGCGAGGACGCTCAACCCTACGCGGATTCGAACCGGGGACTTTATGGTTGAAAACCAGCTGTGCAGGCCACTCGGCCACCGGCCGACAAAGTATCACAAAATCGTTAATGAAACCGAAATTATGGATCCGGTAGTTGGACGACACGTTTGTCATCATCAAACGAGATTCCATGCAAAATACTCATAACCTAATCAACAACACATTCCAGGATATCAAATTTACCATTGAACTCCAAAAGGACAACCAATTACCATCGTATATGTACTGGTCCATAGAAACACTGA